TTGTCTTTGCTTGTATTTAAAATCAAATTATAGAATTTCAAGAATTTAAAAGAAAAAAATAAGGTAGAATACTTACTTTAAATCCAGAATTTATTGACGAAGGAAGTTTATGGAACAATTGACAATCATTATGCTCAATATTATATACTAATTAACATCATCATGTATCCCAAAGCCTGTGACCAAAGCAGATGCCTCTACTCAATCGGTTAGAGTCTCGTGCTGATAACGTGTTATAAAACAATAAGAGAAGAAGAAGAGTATTGAAGAGAAAAGTAAAGAGAGAATTCTTATTGATTTAGGATTAATTACAATGGAATAACTCTTCTATTTATAGGGGAAAAGTGACTTAGCCACCAAGTAACAAACCATAAAATCTCTCTAAAATATAGACATTCACCTTAAATACAATTCTATTTATAACAAATATATTATAATTTTAACTAGATAGGTCAAACTTCTTATCGCCCCTCTTACTTCATTCCGCGAGTTGAAAGTTCAACTTCCACACAAATTTAAAGCTGTGAACTGTCAAAGCTTAATTTCCACCTAGATGTTTCAAACTTTAAAACTCAAGTCTAAAATTTGATTCTAAAAGTTAATTTAGCTATATTTTAAATAGCAGGTCCTAAAAGCGACTATTTATGCGCTTCACCTAATTTTATGGGCAAAGATCATTAACTTGCGGCCGAAACTATTTGTATCCGATAGCCACAAAAGTGTATAAAATTAATATATTTTTTATATATAACATACACAAATATTTATATATATAAAAATATATATTTTTCGGCTATTATTTTGAGAACGATTATACAATGTCATTTTTTCAATTTTCTTCGACAGGAGTACATCAATCTGGGCCTAAGCCCATTTGATATGACACTACAGTAACCCGTTACCCGAAGCACAAAAACCTAACTATATCCCTTTGTCGGAAACCCTACACTTTCTCCTTTACCTCTCACTCTCCTCCGCAGCTTCACAACTCCTTCAGATCACTGAAAATGGTGAGTTTCTCTACATTTTGTGTCATTCAACTTCTCTAATTCACTTCTTCACATCTATGCATTTTCATTTCTTTGATTTTATTTATTGAAATTTGAAAAAAATTGCTTGATTTTATTGTTTAGCCGTTCAAGAGGTTCGTTGAGATCGGAAGAGTTGCGCTCGTTAACTACGGGAAAGACTATGGGAAGCTTGTCGTCATCGTTGACGTCATCGACCAAAATAGGGTACATTTGATTACTTTTTCAGTTTTGTTACTTGATTTTAGCTGAATGTTTATGTTTAGAGTTTAAGTACTCTTTTTAGAGACTTATTGTAGTTTAAATTTGTGATTTAGTGAACCTTGAGGTGGCGTTTTGTTTTTAAGTTTGCAACAATTGAGTTTGCAGACTCAGTTTGTTTGAGTTTATGCTAATATATGTTTGCTTGAGCTGTTTTAAGATTTCCAAACTCAGTTTCCAGAATGGATATGGAGGATTCATATAGCTGACTCAAACTACTTTGGCTTTAGGTGTAGCCGTTTTAGCCTTTTTACTTTCTAGCTGTTTGAAGGGGAGCATTGGAGCAATAGTAAAGTTGTGTCTATGTGACCTATAGGTCACGGTTCGAGCCGTAGAAGCAGCCACTAATGCTTGCATTAGGTTAGGTCACACTCCTTGGGTTGCGGTCCTTTCTCGTACCCTGCTGTGAATGCGGGATGCTTTGTTCACTGGGCTGCCCTTTTACTTTCTAGCTTTGTGCATTGGGCTGCCCTTTTACTTTCTAGCTGTTTATGCACCAGTTTGTGCACACCTTGAGTATTCCACCGGGTAGCTGCCACATCCCATTTACCCGCTGTATCTGTCCACCTAGGCTTAAGTAGATGTGAAGAAGTCACCTAGCATTTTTTGTTTGAACACTGGTTTCCAAAGTTTCACCACTTCATTGACGGCTAGGCACACCCTTGGATGCTACATCCTAGCTATTTATAAATGATATGCTCAAGACTTATGATGAAATTGGGCGAACTGATATAGAGGATTCATATGGTGTTTCCCAACTATCTTGGTATTGAGTGTAGTTGATAGCTTAACCGATTGGTCTTAGCACAGATGCAAGGTGTCTAGTCACGTCTTTGGGAACAATACATTAGATTTGTCTTTTACTTTTTCAGTTTTTAATGAAGGATCTGTATATGGCCTATGATGGAATATGATAATATGCCTACATTGTCTGATCATATTAACTTGATTGAGGAATATTGTCTGAGGCCTTGTATTATGGATTCGAGAAGAGTAATCTGTGACTGTGTAACTAGAAGCTCCCACCTCCATGACCATTTTATTATTGAATATCTGCCTTTGTTGCCAAAGCAGTTAAAGTGTATCCTTGTTTCATAAAGTTCTGCCGATTTAATGTAAGGGAGTGTCATTGTTGTAATGTTGTTGGCTCTGTTTTCTGTTATAATCTTGTACCAATATCATAGGGTTGTCACGTTTCTGGTAGTATAGCGTAGACGATTATGTTCCTTTTGGATTGAGGTGTAGATACTGGGGGGTGAAACTTTACTTTTCAAATATGAAAAAAGTCAAGAAAAGTGATGAACCTTTGCCTCTACACGGTTGTTGAACTCGCCATTGATGGGTCCAGTGATTATATCTGTTTCTGTGTTAATGTAAGAGCGAAATTTTGCTATGTGGGGCACGGTTCGGTACCCAAAATGTGAAAACGCCATTGTTTGCTTGTCCTGAACTCATCATCTGATGAAATGTTTTCATTCCCCAAGGGCACATCTTATTTTCTTAAGCATTTTCATGCTTACTCAATCTCAACAGTTAAAAGAAAAATCTCAATTGCTTCTTGATTTGTTGAGTTTAGTTTTAATTTGGACAGATGGTAGCCAATGCTTTTTTTTTTCTTCTTAAAATCCCTCCCGATTAGGAGGATCTATAGTGTTTCCACACTTCCCTCCAGCATGACTCGAACCCAAACTCGAACCCAGGACAGATGGTAGCTGGTGCTTAATTGAGATAAATTAACTTTGGAAAATATGATGAAAATATGAATCTTATCTATCCTAATAATTTTGCTCTCTTTAAATTGATAGGCTCTTATTGATGCTCCCGACATGGTGAGGAGCCAGATAAACTTCAAGAGGCTTTCACTCACAGATATCAAAATCGACATCAAAAGGATTCCAAAGAAGAAGACCCTGGTTGCTGCTATGGAGGCTGCCGGTGAGTGGCTATAGTTTCTCTTCTAGACGATATGGAGCAGATATTACTTTAGCAGTTCTTTGTCTATCCTATATGTTAGAAAAGTTTACAAGGTTGACTATTTTCATTTGCTTTATGTCCTTCAGATGTGAAGAACAAGTGGGAGTCCAGTTCATGGGGAAGGAAGTTGATAGTGCAGAAGAGGAGGGCCTCACTCAACGATTTTGACAGGTTTAAGCTTATGTTGGCAAAGATCAAGGTGCGATTGCATATGTATTCAAGTTAACTTCATCTAACTGCATTTAGCCCACTCATACCAATAACTCAGTGGACTTTATGAGAAATATGGTTTACATGAAAGGGTTAAAAGAATGGTTTTCATTAATTGAAAAATCAAAATGCATATGCCAGGCTTGTGGTAGAATGTGTTTCTTACTTAGTCTCGTGCCAAGTATACTCCTGAAACAAATCTGCATGTTCTTGTGTAAACAATCCGAATATTGCTTGGCTTACTTTTAATTGCATAAGTATTTTATCCTTGCGGGTTGTATCAATCTGATTCATGGGTGTTGATATTGCAGAGGGCCGGTGTCGTGAGACAGGAGCTTGCAAAGCTTAAAAAGGAGACCGTGGCTTAAGAACTTTCTGAGTAGCCACACTGGTTTAGAACAATTTTGGAAGTTGTATTTTTTTTACCTTGGGGAATGTATTCTCAATGAAAGAACCCCTGTTCTGTTTTTCGTTTTCCTTGGTTTCTTCGATTGCTTCGAAATTATCTTTCTAATCTATGATGATGAACTGAGGATTTCTTGCTGAGTTATTTCAAAATGTTTGTCATAGATTATTACAAGTAATGAGTGTGTTAGCCAAGAATCTGAAAAAGCGTTTTATCTTGAGGCTGTCTTTTTAACACAATCATATGATAACATGTCCAAAGATCCTTATATGGTGCTTGGATTTGGTTTCTTTTGGAAATCAATATTGAGAGAAGGTAGTGTTTGGATTTCAGATTATGTCTGTTTCTAGAAGCGTTCAGCTGTAATTATTGAAAAATAAAATCTTCTTTGCATAACATTCAACTTCTGGGAACATTTGTAAGCTGAAATAGTATAGTTGGAACCTCTGAAAATTAGTTGAATTAATCATTAATTAATGAAAATAGCCAACTAGTAAAGAAAATCGGGACGAAAAGAACAATTAACTTTATGATATGTTGTTTCAAACACTGCAATATATGTCTGAAAAGAAATTATCAGCACCTACTGTTTATTCTAAACTTGTGGATGTGTGATACATATCATTTAATCACGGTAAAATATATGTATTCTAACTTTTAGAGCTAAATTACGTGATTTAATATAAATTTTCATGCGGCGATAAGTAGTTTGTCTCTTAACATTAAGATTCAACTTTATCGTTAACTTTTTATGATATTTCAGTTTTTTTGTTTTATTGCTCTGCAAAAAATAGTACTTCTACTATTATTCTCTAATCACTAATTAAGTGGGAAAGAAATGCAACCTTGAACTTTATGGCTACATTAAGGTTAAGATCAACTACGTTATTAACTTTTTATGATGTTTCAATTTATTTATTCTTACTCTGCAGAAAAGGAAAAAAAAACTTCCACCATTGTTCTTTGACTAATTAAGTGGGGGGAAAAGTGCAACCGTGAACTTAGTGGCTATTTTTTGTAAAACCCAAAACTTATGGGGCTTTGAGAAAAATATTGAAGTCTCCTCTCTCTCAGCGTTGACTTATTAAATTTATCAAAGGCACAAATTCCCAGGTAGCTTCCCTTCTTCTGTTTAACCGTACAGTGCATATATATATAGCTCACCGCGTATATACATATATTTTCACTCCTATATATATCAAACCCAGATTCCCAATTATCCATACATCTTCCTCTGTTACACTGTTGGCTCAATCAACAATGAACATCTTTTCCAAGAAACCCAATGCTAAAGGTTCAATTTTTAAGTTCTTGATTTTCATAAAAAATCAAAATTTGAAGAACCCCTTTTGTTTATTCATGTAATTGCTACCTTAGAATACACAATTACACATATATGATTTTTTTCAACACATATAGATGATTCATATGTAGAGGATTCATATAACAAATAGTGACTGGTTTGGGATTGAGGAGTAGTTAATTGATTGATTGTTAAGTTCTTGATTTTCATAAAAAATCAAAATTTGAAGAACCCCTTTTGTTTGTTTCTTTATTGCTACCTTTAGAATACATTTAGATGATTTTTATGTATAGAGGATTCGCATATTGAACACTGCCCGGTTTGGGATTGAGGCATAGTTGATTGATTGATTGTAGGTTACTTGAATCAAATTTGAGCATTAATTATTCTTCATGGAATTGACATTTGATCTTCTGCTGGATGTTGAGCATCCACAAAATTGAGCTGTGATTATATTTACCAAGTGTGCAAGTTTGAACTTTTCTTTTGGCAGAGGCGCTTCGGGAGAGTAGAAGAGAACTAACCCATGCTACCAGAGGTAAACAGTTTACAGTTTTAGCCCCCTCCCCCCTTCCCCTGGCATGAAGTACATTGATCTCATAGGTGGATTCAACAAATAAGCACATGGGCACCCACTGTCTCGAAATCAAACTATATGGATTCAGAGGTGAATTCAGGATTTAAACGTGATGACTTAAAAGTTTTTTGCACTGAACAGATTGGGCTTTGAAATTATGGTCCAAAATATTTACTTGTTAGAATTTTAGTGTTTTTTTACAAACATACACACACATTATGTTCGGTGTAGAAATAGCATGTTTGGTTGAACCGGCAGCTAATCAGCTACATTCGCCATTGTATCTATATATGCATATAAAAAATTCAAAGAAAAGTTTTAAAATATGTTAAGAGGTGCACACTGCCTTTCAATATTCGTCTTTGACAGAGCTAGCTTTTTGATTGCTTTGTAATCATACACTCTGGATGAAGCTACAAACGGAGGAGTCTTGCAGTAGATTGATGCATGGCCAATGTAAAAATAGTCAGGCTATGATCGGAATACTCTAAATACAAAGAATTCATAATGTACACTAACTAGTTTGGATTGAGACATAGTTGATATGGTATTAAATTGTTGGGTCATTGGTACTAGATGATATTGTTGGGGCTTTGTGAAATTATGCCAATTATAATTTGGATATTTGATAGAAAGTAATGTTAATTCCTATAGACAAGGAAAGTAATGTTAATGAAAACCGAAGGTATACAAGTGACATAAACAATGACTTTATGGGCTTAGGGAGTAAATAGAGTAAACCACTAGTAAGATGTTCCCATTCTTATTTAGAGATCTCAATATCCACCTACCCGAGAGCCTTTGGAAGCTCTTATTAAACTAGTGAAGGTCCATTTTATTTCTTTGTTCGAATGGGCCTGATATATCTAGTAAGATGTTCCATTCTTGCTAATAATAAATCCCAAATTGCTAAATTCAAGATCAGACAAGATCTTTCTAGGGTGTAAAAGACGTTCTTGATCTTTGTTTAGGTTGGCTTAATGTATTCGTTTATCAAATTCATTATTGTTTCTTAGAGAATTATGGAATAAAATGAGAGTGTTAAACAGTGATTCATTTGACTATGCCATCCATTCTACTTGAGTGACTTTATAAGCAGTGCGCCTTTATGTTAGCTTTAATAAGTTTGGAAACCGGATGATCATATTCAAAGGTAGGTAAAGTATAGTAAGTCTTGCTTGGGCTGCTCTATGGCTAAGTCGTTTTCTTAAATAGGGAAGTGATTTGATGATAAATCACTGGTAAGCTGTAATTTCTTACACATCAGAAGACACACAATTTCTGTGAATAGAGAAGGAAGCTTAGGAAGACTATCACATTGGTATCCACAATTTCTGTTCTCAATGTGTGAAAGGGCTTCTTTTAAGTAATTGGCGAGTAACTCATGTTAGTTTTAATATTGTGATGTAGGTATTGAGAAGGAAATTTCTGCTTTGCAATCAGAGGTATGTCTTGAGCTTCTTCCTGTTGCTAGCCTATTCTTGAAAGTATTTTGTGACTGTTCGAGAGACAGAAATTTATGCAATTTTAGAGCTTATACAACTTTTTTCCTTTATATCGCACTTCCTTTTACTTACTGTTCTGCATGCGGCATAATATCTATAAGAGACATTTTGATGTATTTCTTGGTGAGACAGGAAAAGAAACTTGTTGCTGAGATAAAAAGGACTGCTAAAACTGGAAATGAGGTGGGTCTGAAGTGTCAGCATCGGACGCTTAATTAGCTGTCATAAATTACCTCTGTGCTTTGTAACTCATTTGTCATCTGTTTTCGCTCTGCATTTTTAGACAGCAACAAAAGTACTAGCACGTCAGTTAGTCAGGCTTAGACAGCAAATAGCCAACTTGCAAGGTAGTCGGGCTCAAATGAGAGGTATAGCGACTCACACTCAGGTACTCTACCAAGTCATTTTACATGCTTACTGATTTCAGTTCTTCTGTCCACTTTCTGTGAAATGAATTTGAAAAGCTTTTTTGCCTTTTTGCAGGCAATATCTGCCCAATCTTCGGTTGCTGCAGGCATGAAAGGAGCCACTAAAGCTATGACTGCTATGAATAAGGTTTAATGGCCATTGGCCAAAGATCATGACATCTAATTTTAACTTTTCCATTTGTTTGCAAGAGAGAATGAAATATAATTTTTTTTTTTTTTTTTCATTTTTGGCCCAACAGCCCAAAATAATTACAGGCGGTAGCCCAAATATACAAAACATTCAACTTCTTGTTCTCTTGAAACCTCTTGGCTCCTTGCAGATAAATTAAAAATGTGGATCTACAAGTTTGATTCTCTCGTGTTTCTTTACTCCTCTTTTCGTTGTCCATTTTGCTCCTCCTCTCCCATTGCCTCCATTATTTGGTTTACTTTCATATATTGCTCGTCAATTTGTTTTTACTCAGTGAAACATGATATTTGTTTTCTATGTTATGTCATCTTCTTGATTCCTTCTCATAATTATCAGTTGATTTTTTGCAGCAAATGGCCCCTGCGAAGCAAGCGAAGGTGATGCAAGATTTCCAGCGGCAATCAGCTCAATTGGATATGACGGTAAGACTGATTGATTGCACACTATCTGTTAAATCTTAAAATAAAATCATATGTCCTTTATGTCAACTCATTGTTACAAGTCACATCAATAGTTGGTGTTTGTATTTGTAGACTGAAATGATGTCAGACGCCATAGATGACGCTATAGATAATGATGAAGCGGAAGAGGAAACTGAAGATTTGACAAACCAGGTATGCTCTTAAAAGCCCCTTTCAATTATGATTTATGACTGGAAATAGTTAGTGGGTGTGCTTTGCTTTATGCTAGCTTAGTAGTTGATTTAATTGAAAATATCTATAAAGTTTTGATTGTTCAGATAACATTCTGGTTTTCTTCAGGATTGATGTTTTCTTAATAAAATGTGTTAGCCTGGACTCTTCTGATAATGGAACTAAGATTGAATGTAAAATTTTATTTTTAGGAATCAAACAATTATTAAAGTGCATTTAACTGTACATGTTAATATCTATAACACACGGTCACAGCTAGTTATTATTTTCTTACAAGTTGATTTGATCTTATATTTGCAGGTCCTTGATGAAATTGGAGTCGATGTTGCCTCACAGGTTGTTTTTAATTATGTTTCATAGTGAAACAACTAGTCTTCTTACTTACAAGAAGGAAAGTAGTTTGACATCGGCAACTACCGTGTTAAATTGACAATCCCATGTTTTAATCTTGACAGCTGTCAACAGCTCCCAAGGGCAAAGTTGCTGGAAAAAGGACCGAGGAATCAAGCAGGTTCATTCTCATTTTCTTTTGATATTGTCTACTTGTTACTTTATTGCCCTTTTCCTTTACTCGCATGTTTTTTCAAGAGATAAACTTATGGAGCCAAAAAAACAAGAAAAAAAGAAGCTTAGGGCGTTGGTTTAACAGTAAAGGTTACGCAGAAGGATATGTGGTAGGCGCACATAATGAGTTCGGATTCGACTGGTGAACTAAGTTTGGTATTTACATGGAGAAGGATAGAGGGAAGGGGCTCAGTATCCACCGAGTTTTGAGGCAAGAAACAGCATATTTCGCGGGTTATTCAAAAAAAAAAAAAAAAAAAA